TTTTACTTTCTCTTACAGATCTGGACAACACCGAGAAGAATGAAAAGCTGAAGTTCAGTATCGTCATGAGGCTTCCCGAGGTACTAATGACTTTGGATGTCACTTCTTGGATTTTTGAATTGATAGTAAATTCTTCCCTGTGCATAGGCTCAAGCCATTGGAAGACTTAGCTGTGATTCAAACAGGGCACAGATACAACCTGAACCTCCGCAGTTTCTCCATCTGCTGCTCATGACCCGTAGGGTACCCTGATAACTCATTCTAGATTTGTCCATAGTGTTTTACAGTGTCTCCAGTACCCTGCAGGAATCAAACAGACAAGACTGACACTGTTCCGCTGAGGATTCATCTGCATAAAGCAGATGGGGTTTAAAGAGGATTTACGGGGTTTTTGTATGTGTGTGTTTTAGCATCCACGAATGGCTTTCTCGCTTGTGACCTCTCTGTTTGGTTTTATTCGTTTTATCAAGTATGTTCAAAAGCTGGTACAGCAAAAGCTGTGACATGCGATCATAACACAACTCTGTGGCAGCAATCGAATTGCAAGGTCTCACCCGTTGGTCAGGTGACTCGTTTAGCCACATGCTGGAACTAATTACTGATGCCCCATTAAAAGTTCCAGCAGAATGTGAGACTGACTTCTCCTTTTCCGCTTTTGTTCTTCGTGTGCACCGCCGTGCTGCAGAGGAAAACCAGGGATCCCCCTGGGGACTGCCTTGCTGTAGAACGGGCTTTTCTCAACATAAGTTGCTTATTGTTTGCTCATTATGGGCTGTTACATATAGTTCAAATGGCCAGAAGTGCTGCTTTGGTTTTCCTCTAACAAGGGCTTCTTTATTTGGCAGCAGATTTGAGAAGGGGCAGGGAAGGAGAACGCCACAGGAGGTTCTTTGTCCTCTGTATCTTGTTTCGGGCATGAGTTGGTGAGCTGGGGTCAGCGCGGGGCCTCTCTGAGCTGTCAGCCCCAGGCCTGGTAGGAGGGGAGCCCATTCCAACCACGCTTTGATGCGAAGGGCTGAGCTGTGAGGGCTTTAGGGGACATGTTGCTGGTTACGTACAGTAGACTCAGTGCCTTATTGTGTCTATTTACAGCTTTGGGAAAAAATGCAGAGATGTTTGTTTGCCAAAAAGGACACTTTGGGGTGACTTGGACTATTTTGAGCAGGTTAGATTCACTAGATGACTTCAGTTGCATCAGAAGCAAGTATTTAAGCACCATTGAAGCTGTCCAGCATTTCCTGAATGAACTCTTTCAGTAGTCTGTATTGGAATACAGCTGAAAGTGAGTGGGGGAAAATAAGATCTCAATAGGGAAAATAGCAGAAGGTGGAGCTAATTTCACAGTGTGTTCGTATTTGTTTGCTTATTGGTTAGGACTGGAAGCTTTGGGACATCTGGGTCTGAATCTCTTTTGCCTTTGGGTATTTGAATCAATGTTATCAATTCCGAGGACAATGTCCTAAATAATGGGATGCAAATTGTGTTCCCAGTGTCTCTCTCCTTGTCAGCATTCTGCTTTTGTAAGATTCCTTAGACTGAGCCAGAGAGAAGCCCTGTTCTGAACAGAACATTGAGGAGTGGGGCATCTGTTATTCTTTGGGAGAAGAACGGATCTAAACCAAAGAGTCGCAGTAAATGGCCATTTTAAGCCTCAGTTAATATTTAAGTACACATGCAAAGTGGGACAGAGTGATGGGACAGACTCATATAGAAACCTACTGAGTAGCTCAGTGTGTACTGAGTAGCAAGGTTTTGACTGTTTCCCACATTTTTCAAGCGTATTGTAATCTCTGAGTTACTGGCTATGAAAGGCAGGCTTCGAGACTAAAAATGATGACATCTTAGCATCTGTCATAAGTGTCTGAAAGAGAAGCATCTGTGTTACAACCTGGATTTTTCTTTTGGGCTTTTCCCTCCTTTTCTCCCTCCTAAGTTTCCACTGTCATGTGTTTATGTTCTCAGGTCTTTGGGTTTTGTTTTTTTGCTTACTAGGCTCTTGGGGAAAAGGTCCGCCAGTTCTGGAATCATCCAATAAATGCTAATTTCATTGCCCGGAAATATGTGAAACTTTTGCTCGAGAAGCTGGGGAACAGGCAGGTAAGAGCACATAGGCTATTTTCTTTAATCTTTTGCTTTGCCAGTGTTGAGATTCCTGACCTTTCTGTAGACTGTAACACACTAAAGGTAACACTGAAACTTGGTACTGTGTGGCTTTGTGAACTAACCTGAAATATTCTCCCTTGCAGTGTAGCAGGCCTATCCCTGAGAGACTCCCGGTCCCTGTAGAGTTTTTGCCACTTAACTACCTGACTAATATGCTGGCAGAGATAGAGAATCAAGGTAATGTTCATTCTGACTTCGGAAGACCCATAGTTGTTCCCCTTTGCTCGCACTCAGCCCTATCCTGACTATATTGACACACTGACTGAGTTCTAAAACTCTGGTGATGCCTGAACATGTAGGTTCTTCGGTCATCTTTCTGCTGATGGGAGTTGTCAGGGGGCTCCTTTGCTGCATATCATCCACACCCTCCGAGTGTTGAATCGAGTCAGGAAACTTGCATTTTTTAGAACACGTGTAATGAAACGTGGTTCCTGTACAGCGTGGTGGTACCTGTTACTCTGTGTTCAAATGGGGAGAAGGGCCTTTTCTTGACTTACACAGTATGGTGGCTGAGAGGCAACCAACATCAGATCTTCCACCTCAGAAAAAGAGTACCCACATCGCTAGATTAGGAGGTGCTCTGAAGTAACAGGCTTCTGTTTATTTCAACACCATTCCTTTTTTTGACACTCAATTCAGATTGGTTAGGGCACTTGCTTCATACAGTGACCCTAAGCATCTGAAGCTTTTGAATTCCACGGAAAAAGCAAGGTGCATTAAAGGAAGCATTACGCTTTTTAGCATTACTGGCTATGTCTGTACTAGTAAGCAAAACAAAGTCAGGATAAGGACCTGAAGGCTGAAATCGGGTTGTCCATGTGTGGGTGTCCTCCCATTTGCGAAGGTAAAAGTGTTAAACCATGTAGAAGCACAGGGGAATGTGCCATGGCCCATTCGATGTTCTAGCAGTAACGTAGCCACTGTGCTTAAGTCTCGTTTGGGATCTCCAGGGTAGGGTTAGTGTGGAAATCCCTAGCGACCTCCAGGGATGGTCTGTCATTCCCTTACGTCCCACTAACAGGAAAGTTTCTGCCATGGGTGAGCATCCAAACGGCTCCAGTGAAAGCCGTAGGTATTTTGTGTAAATGAAAACACAGCTCCACCTGTTACCTTATCTGTTGGTATTGTAGGTGAAGGTGCTTAACACGCTGCAGGTCTGAGTGTACAAGAACACTTATGATTTTGTAAATACGAACTTTCTCACCGTGTTTTTCTAGGTGTGCATCCATATGAAAAACAAGATCACGTTAATGTACGATTTGTAGAGGAAACGGCACTCAAACACACTATGACGCTTTTGGGCCTCAAATATTCCTGAAATAACGTGCTGTTGAAGAAGGCTAACTGTGGTACTCTCACATAAAAGTTATTCACATGGAAGTGTGCAACCAACTTTTTTTTATTTGTTTTAAACTTAAATGTCATGTCGTTTTCCATTCACATGGAAGTGTGCAACCAACTTTTTTTTGTATTTGTTTTAAACTTAAATGTCGTATCGTTTTCCGAATAATCTGCAGTTTGTGTAGCCATCATTACCGACATAAGCTATCCAAAATACTGTTTGGTGCAACGTATTAAGGCTGAGATCCCTGACTTCTAGATAAATCCTAGAGAAACTCGTCTGACACAAATCCAGGTTTCCTATGGATGATACCTGTGGTTTCGTCGTTCAGTGTTGTAGTCAAGTAGGTGGAACTACAGCAGGTATCGAGGCGTGCTGTGAAAATTGGTATTGATGTCAATTGTTTTACCAAGATAGACGTAGCCTGGTTGTATCGTACAGTAACAAGAAACTGGTAACTGTTTACTCAGATGAATAAAATGATTTCTTGATGTGTTTATGCAAAGCAGGTAAGAATAACATAATGCATCAGTAATGATGTGGTCATTCACTGTGGTGGTCATGTGTTATGTTACGGCACTTCTGCCTTTGGAGTTGGATTCTAATATATTTAGGTTTGTTATTGGTGCAAAATACAATCTTCTTAAAGTGCATGTGAGCCGGTTTCATTTCGTGTTTGTTTTTTTAAGGTATGGGTAATATATTGTAGGCAATACAGGAAAAGAAAAAAGTTCTTTAGAAATTTACCTGAATGGTGGCTTGGACAGAGTTTTACTTCTTGCCTTACAACTTTTAGTGTTACAGTTCAGACCTCAGCTTCAAAAAGAAATGATGTAGATTGTTTTTCCTTAATTTTCAACTTTTATTTTTATATAACCGAACCAGTGTTGTTTGTGGTGTTTGGTGGTTTTTTTAATGTGCTGAACTGTGACATTAATTTAAAAAATAGTGATTTATTATGTGAGAAAACCTTAAGTTCTGACATAGGCTTTCTGCAGCCTTAACTGGATGTATAAACACCTCTATCAAAGTTTCAGACTATTAAACTAGTGAAACTCACTGACAATTTGATAGATTTTGGAGGTTTTCAGTAGCAAATAATATTCTCTCTGAGCATTTCCACTGATGCTTCCTGTTCCTTACCAACGAAATAAAAAGATCCAGTTCTCGGGAGTGACTTGGCAAGTTCGTGGTCATTCCCATCAGTGGAGCAAGAGTTTTAACTTTCTCAGTAACTGCATAGAGGGAAGGAATATTTTTCTCAATATAACTAAAATCTGTCTGGCAAGCGTGAACTCCAGTCCCAGACTGCTGAAAGCTGTGTCGGTGTATTTGTGTAAGTGTTGGGGACTTTGTTCCTATCACGTTAATAACAAGAGAAGATTTTCTAGCCTTTCCTTTTTAATTAAATGTATTATAAAATATAATCAGATGCAATAAAACTTCACCTGGAAGAAAATAAGCATAGTGTGAAGATCACTCATTTTTCTTAACACTATAAAGTACCGCACTGCATTTGGGATCCCAGGCTCCTCCTAGCCACTGGATCCCTGACTATTAGCTGTGCTGCGGGCACTAACTCCCGCTTTGCTTTCCATATGGGACTGGACTGAACGCTAACGGACGTTCCTTCAGCGCGGTGTGAATGCTGTGGACCCGAGAGATTCAGCACCCGGTAACGGCTTCTCCTGCTGTAGGTGCTGTCTGTGCAGATGTCAGTTGGCTTCACGGCAGGTTTTCTGAAATGTCTCATGTTTGAACCAGGTTCACTGGGTTTGAAAGGAGCCAGAGCGCCGTAGGGCCGCGGCAACGCGGGACTGCGCTCGTCGTCCGGGAGGTAGGCGGCTGGGCGTTGCTCAGCTGTGGTGTGGGCACAGCCGGGCGCTGCAGCTTGTGCCTCTTCTGCAGCATGCTGGGAAAGAAACACGGTTTGATCACACGGTGATTATTTTCTTTAAAACTCCAGTACTTACCTGAGCCGATGTACAGAATGCCTAACAAAGGCAACGCCATTCATTAGTCCTTAGCAAACCAGGAAAGCCAGAGGGGTATTAAAAGGAAACCGTGAGTTTTTATTGACCATGCAGATGTGAGTTTGTCCTTTAAACAGTATACAGTTTGAGCCTGTAATGCTTTTGTCATTTGTGAAGAAAACAGATTAGATGAACTTTTAAAAGTTGTAGTAAGTGTGCACAGAACTTCTCAGGAACAAGATAATAGTTCTGATGCTTCAAAACGTGGCTGTATTTATGCTGACAGCAGTTCCTGAATAGTTACTGCAGTGAGCTTGTGTCTGCAGCACTGGAAGGAAACTGAGTCACAACGTGAGGAGAAGTGTTAATGAAATAGAAGTTTCTGTGGTAAAACTGGTTTAGAATAAGGACTTCTGCTTGACTTCAAGTTCTTTAAGTGTATGCACGGTGTATTCCCCTCCCACCTTTGTGCGCCTTTCAGATTCCCTTAGAGTGATCAACTAAAGGATTCACGTAGGAAACTAACTTCCCATCAGCAAAAGTTCCCTCAGTCTGCACATCTCACTTTCATACTCCCTTTTCTTCCCTGGGAGCTCTCCGCTCTGGGATCACTGATGGTCCCAACTAAGGAGGCACAGGATCCAGCAGCGTAGGATTTGAAGCACTATTTGGTGTGCTGCTGCCCTGCCTGCCCTCACTCTTGCCCAGCAGCCTGATTTCTTGCTACTTCTGATCTGACGCTCACCGCATCTCATGTGCGGAAGATGCTGAACTTATTTTTCCTGAAACCCACAGCCCACCTGTTGCAGCTTTAGCCTGAAATCAAATGGAAAGCCATCCTTCACCAGTGGCTATCTCACCCATCATCCCAGGACATGGTCACACGAAGGCTCCCTTCTAGTGTATTCTCTCCTTAAGAAGCAATGACTGGTTATAAGTGGTGTTGCCAGACTGCAGTTAAAACTGCACACACCCACAATGTACCCCCTCAGCGGTTGTCTCTGTCTATACCGTCATCTCCACTGACTCCTGGAGCTCCGTGTCCGGCAGCGAACAGCCACGCAGTGAACTAGCACAGCTCCTTCAGAAAGACGAGCTAGAGCAGTGAAAAGGTGGGGCTGAAGATCTCATTGCAACATAGGGCAAAAACTTACTTTAGCTCTGCCTTCAGCTGCTGCTTTTCGCATCTTCTCGTTGCGTAATATCTTCAACCACTCATTTTCTGTTTCTTTAGGAGGGGGAAGGCCTTGATTTATCCTTGATGAAACAGTCATCAAAAATTGTTCTTTGTCTCTCATTTCCTGCTGGAGTTTAATGGCAAGTGCTTGCTTCATGGATAACTCTCCAAGAAGAGCCATCATCTTCTGGGTTCTGTCCTTTATCTTCTTCTGCAGTTCATTTGTCTGGAGTAAATAACAGTTGCATTTCAGTTAGGGCTTCCCTTTGGACACTTGCTAGGTATGACACTTAGGTGGGTGTTAGGTACGTGAAAACAAGTCCAACTTGGCGAGGTTTTAAAAACTAGTTCCATACTTGAAGGTGACTTAATGAAACAGGACATGTGTTTCTGTATACACCTGGAACCACAGAAGCTGGCAGCCTAAGAAGCCACCTCTCCTCCATTACAAGGTACGGAAAAGCAAGTTTGTAATTACCTCCTGCCCTTCTCAGCTGAGTAGCAAAACTCCCCCTGCCCTCACACGCCTCGTACCCTGATTCTCATTGAGTTTATGCACCATTAACTTGGTAATAAAGGTGTAATAAGCCAAATCCTGACAAGATAATTGAGCGATAATGCAGGTGCAGTGAGGCTGTGAAGTTATCCTTGCCGGCGGGCGAACAGTGTAACTGGAGATGATTTAAACAAAACAAAACAAAAAACCAAGGAAAATTACTCTTTTTTTATTATTATTATTTTTAAGTGACTAACAGGGAATTGGGAGAGTCAGAGCACTTGTGAATGTAACTTTTGGCACACTGCTATTTTTACAGGCATTTGTTAGCCCATGGCCATGATTTCACAAACCAAAGTAACAGCCATGTTATTTCTCTGTGGAAAATTAAAGATTTACTATAAAGATGGGTTTTGTTTTTAAGCCTTTCTGAGTGCAAAGCCTAACACCTAAAAAGAAAAAAATCAACCCTGCCCTTGTTTTACATTAATTACTTAGCTTTTTTTCTGTTTTTCACTCAGCTCTGCTCTATTTGGAGCTTTCTCATTAAGGAGGTGGGGGTGAGAGGATTTTTCCTGGTCCCCAAACAGTATTACTGGCAGTTAAAAGGAAATGGCTATAATTATTTAAAAGTAACTGTGTTGAAAATGCTATTTCTTTCCTGTGTGGTCCTCCCTACCTAAATAACAAAGAAACTTTGAACCCGATATCAAGTTTATCTTTTTTTTTTTTATGTTGGAGTAGAATTTACCTGGCTTTCCCTTATTTCTTTTTAGCCTTTGGCATGTTTGTTGTGGAAAGGCTGTTATGTACAAGTGCAAAGGGAAGATTCTGCCGAGTTTCTAAGCATCCACCTGAGAAAGAACTAATTTTGGTGAAAGTTACTATTTATAGTGCAACTTTCTTCCAAAAAGGAACTACACTCACCTAATGCTTTTGGTATGTCTATGTTGCTGTTACTACTAAATGTCTATAATCTCTGAAGACTTAACACATGATTTGCCTATCACTATTTCCAGCCACTTTTGTAATGTGCAAGTGAGTCATCTTACCTCTTGCCCAGATGTTATTTTATTTCATGTAGGCCAGCAAGCCAAGCATGCAATGCGCTGCTTACCCTCTTTGCTAACTGCAGCGTGTCCTGCTTCCCGTTCCCTGCCATGGCACGGATTCGGTCCGTCAGCCGGGAAATGTGCTCGTAGAGAAGCTCTGTCTCCAGCAACTTCTTCTCCTTCTGCACCAGCTCCACCTCTAGCTGCAGCGAGAAGGGTGTAGGTAAATGACAGGGGAAGGTGCAGCACAAGGTGTCCTGTGATTGCTTTGAGGGCTGCTGAAATGATGCTGGTGAGCAGCCACAAATAATCACCATCAGTTTTCTCAAAATTTTCACCCTCTGCAAGTATCGGGCCACAGTTGGTTCAGTTGGTTACGGTCAGTCATACAGTTCTTCCATACCAGACCGGGCCCTTTTTGGGGAGCAGGGGGTTACACTGGCCTTATTACTGCCTTGATTTGGTTGTCTTGAAAGCAATGTTTTTTTTCTAGTGGGGTGTTTTTTTCTTTAATCTTCTGGTTCCTTGAGCCATGCCATAATGAGAAGGCTTCAGCTCTTCCTTTAAATACCTTTTCCTTCCTGCTGCTAAAAAAAGAAGTAAGTATGGCCTCCAAAGACTAAGAAAGAAAGTACTGTGCAACTAAAACAACTTTAAAATCACAAGGAGATTGAAAGAGAACCTTTAAACTTATCTCATGACTCCAAGAAACCTGGCTTTTTAACGTGCAGGTTGGTAATAGCGGGCTGTGTTGTAGCCTGCTTGGCTATGCAGAGCTCCCTCCTGTCAGGGAATCGGGACAGTAAAGCAAAAAGCTCAAGTAATTCAAGTAGAAGTGCTCACGGTAAATCCTTACAAACTGGATTTCAAAAAGAGGACTTAGGTGTGTGTGTACTGCTCTGAGCTTGCTGTTACCCTAATGCCTTCACAGCCCCCTGTGAATCCCCCCGAGCACTAAACATGGTGGGGGGAGGAAAAATACCTAAGAAAATATGATAGTTGCTCATTCCTTTCCTTTATCCCCCCCCCCCACCCCCCCCCGCCACACAGGAGGTGCCCT